ATATATATATATATACATATATCTCAATTATGAAATACTATGAAACATCTCTAACGCTAAATATTCAAACAAAGTTAGTATTCCCAATGTGCCAAATATTCGTTGCGGAACAGTATATATAAAAGAATCATTACAGAATGTGGATGGAATGATCAGAATATTGTCGATGGAATGATCAGAATATTGTATAAATTATACTCGTTGTATATCTACGAAAATCACTTGAGAGCGTGCAGTACACATCTCCGCTGATAGAGAGTTGCGATGGAGAGTTGCTAGAATTTATTTGTTAATAAGAATCGTTTGAGGGAAAACATATAGAGCGCAGCATTTCGCTTATGAGCTCAAAATTGGGCTCCAAGGTGAAAATACATATAATGTGTTCACGAGTTTGTTTAAAAAGTGGTTTAGAGATGATCGAATCTGGAATTTTTGGAAAAATTTTGAGGAATTCATATGAAACATTCTCGGAATATGATATTTAAATAGAATTTTTGATCGATTTCAATGCTTTTACATTTCGTTGGTATGATAGTAAATAAAAAGCTGCATCTTCATCAAGAAGATGACGTTATATTTATTTTTTGAGATTTATAAATTTATATAAACGCAAGTTTATATATATAAATGTTTTCAAAATCGCCATTGACCTATTATTTTTCTGTGTACCATTGTAATTTTTTAAATTACTATTATAATCTCGTTTTTTAAAGAAGCCTATGATAATATTTGTGTACAGTTCTATAGTCAAAGGACGCCTCCGGTTCTTACTTGTCACTAAGTTATATGTTAAAACATTTTCAACTTTTTTCTCACATTTCATTGTTAATGCCTTATAATTTTGAATTAGACAAGTTCGACTAGTTCTTTAATTTCATTATTTAAATAAATTAGACATTTCTCTATGCTAACTCGATTTACTAAAGAACCATCTTAATATATGTTCCGTTTTTTTTTTTTGGATTATAGTTAGAGCTAGGCACATTTCATCTTGGTTCCCACCTCTATTTCGCGCGCAATCTAAATGCTGATCGAGGTAAAGAGAGAGAATCACAAGCCGAAAATCGTCCAACTCTGAATTATATGTTGCAGATTGTTTTGCGGGCACCGATTTTCTGTGTCAGAATCACAGGTGTATTTCAAGCAAGCTGAATTGTGACGGTTTTGATCATTGCGGTGACAACAGCGATGAACCAGCGACGTGTTTTCAAAGTATGTATCTATTCCAATTGATTATATTTAATTTGTAAAAAGACTTTGTAAGAACTAAAATTATTTTTAATGCAAAGAAAATTATATCAAAATTAATATAACAATTTACAATACTTTTTTTAAAATGAAATAAATATGCTAATTACAGCAATTATTTAAATATATATAAAATATTTAAGTAATAACTTTTTAATAACAATATGCATTTTTTTATATGTAATGTATTTAAATAACATTTTATTACAATATGTATGTATTTTTTTATATTGTAGATGTTTAAATATGACAGGTATATGTACCATTTTTATAAATTGATTTCCGAATAAAATGTCATGTATAGATTGGGAGATGGAAACACGTAAGTGGCATATGAACAAAGCGAATTATTATTTTCCGAAGATCGATCGATATCCTGATTTGAAAACGGCCACCTTGATTTTCGTTGCCAGTAGCCTTGGCTTAATCGTTCTAATATCGGTTCTCATTATACTGCTATATAGAATTGGAGCCAGAGCTAGACAACAAAGAGAACTGCAGTCTCGTTTGGAAACAATCAGCGAACTTTTAGGTACGCGTTTGCGATTTTTTTACAGAAAATATTCATTCAGAATCTCAACACTTGTAATACTTTTATTTAAATAAAGAAAATTATTCAATTCAAAAAAGTTATTTGTTTTGAAAGTTTGAATTAAGCATGATGTGAAAATAATATATTTCTTTTAAACCATAAAGACAAACAAAGTACAACAAGAATATTATTCGAAATTAGTTATAAAAGTTGATAACAGGAGGCGACGAAGTAAGAGAGAAAGAGATTGCACTTGATAACGTGCAAGTTGAAAAAGTGATCTTGATTTGTGAGGAATATCCTCTACGAAGATAGTTTGAAAAGTTCTCGACCTGGCAAAGAAATGACGCTACAAATATCAAGTTGTTATAATTTTAAACAAGTTTGATCCTTTACTGTTAAAATTTTAGACAGATGCGTTAATTAGTTTCTTTGTTTCGTTCGATGGAATCAACTTTTGATTCCATCATGACGATGCATCTGCTCACATTTCTTCAATTGCAGTCGCAAAATTCTATAAATTGCTTCCAAGCATCGTATTTCATCAGATTATTATTACATTTATTTGCACAGAAAAAACATCCTTGTGTTTTTCTCTAGTACTGGATCATTCAGTTCTAAGACTTTAAGACAATACTAAGATTTTAAGGCAATCCTCGAACACTGTGAGTTGCTTACGATCCCTAAATTTTACAATCCTTGAGCCTTTCCTAGCAATGTAGCCAGTACTGTAACTTAATTCAAATTCGGAAGTGTACAAGAAGTAGTCATATCTGTCAAGTGCAGAAGCAGCCTCTGCAAGAATTTCGACATTTTTGCCTTTGTAACATAGTCTAACATAGTCAATCTTAGCTATAGCTGTTGTCTTATTGCTTTCATGTCTTACACTCATAAGAACATTCGTAAATCTTCTGCCAGATGGGTTACTACCTTTTGGCGATTTTATTAGCAAATATGATGACATTAGCTTATACATTTGAATGAAAAAAGTCTGGATGTGTTGGATCCACAGCAATTCCGCATCATGCCGAAAAAGTACTGAAATAAAAAAAAACGACTTTATACAAACTACATTGTGCTAATGATATAAAAAATAAATTTAAAAATAAAACTATTGTATACCTTTAGATTATCTTGATTAAGTGGTGCGTTAATAAATATCTGAAATCGCACTTTTGTGTCAGAAAAGTGCAAATCTTGGGCTGTTTTAAAAGATATTGTTAGTCCATAGCACGTGGATTCTAAATTCATAATTTGTTATAAATTCATAATTTCTCTCTATTTTTCTTCTCTCATGCTTGCAGATATTACAGGAAGTCTTCTATGTCCTATACTAGTGAAAAGAGAGTTTGAAATTAATAATTGTACTCGTGTAATTGTTTATACAACATGTGTTAAGATCAAGATCATCGAAGTTGGGTCCCCTATTATCAATTTTTACCTTAAAAACATATATTTACTTGTATTAATTCACTTGTATTTTTTAGAATGCAATTGATACATTTCTATCAGATTGTTTATATGAAAATTTATTATTAATAGATTACATCGCAAATTTAAAATGTGAATTAGCATATTGATTACTAATAAGAGTTATAAATCAGTGCGAGCAAAACATTTCTCACGATACTCCGGACAGTTTTTGATATTACAGACGGTGCACAAATCGATGAAATATCTATTCCGGATGATCCTCCTGGTTATGAGGCTCCGCCAGATTATGAAGAAGTCGCAAAGCTTGCTTTGTCAAAGAAGACTCAATGCTTGAAATGCGATAGAACTTTCAACAGAAACTTTCCAAATCAGTAAGACGCTTCTTTCTTTTATTTTATAGGGTAAAGTGGTTACACAATTTTAACTATGATACGAAATAATCTGAACGAAATAAGATTTAAATTCAATTTTCGAAGTTTAGTTTTTCCCTGTTTGATATTTTTCAATATTCTCCACATAATAAGAAAGTTACTAAATTTAAACCTTGAAAATTGAATACATATCACGTTTGAAATTATATCATCTTATCCTATATTGCATGCAGCAAAATGTTTTTCAAAACTAAAAAACAAAATTTCAAATACAAATTCTTTAATAAGTTTGAATTATCCCAATTA